CTCCTTGGGTAATTATAATTTAGATGCGTCATATTTAATTTCAAATTTTTTGTTCGTTTCTAGAAGGAAATATTCAGCGGAAAGAGCAGTAAATTTTCAGTAATAAATTCTAATTTTTTTATTACGAGTTTCTATATTTATAGTGTTTTTTATTGAAAAAACTAGTGCAACATTGGTGCACACTAACACTACGTACAATTTATAGCGTTTTTTACTGTAAAAAATCATTGAATAAAGAATACCTGGAAATACCCAAGGAACGTCAATGCGCATATAACGTGCTTTTAATGCGTGTTTTATTGCATTGGATTCAAAACAACATTAATTGTGTATTCAAAATGCGCGAATTTAATGTGTTTGAGCATACTAAAAATATACAATTTCTTATAATTCTCTATATATTTATACATACATGCTTATGCATGAAAAATTATGCGTAAGAGGTCAATAGTACAATTTTTTAAAATGCGCTGCCACAATATACATTAAATGCGCATTTAAATGTACATGTAAAGCACGTTATACGCGCATTGGCGCTCCTTGAGTAGAGTCCAAGATAATCAGAGATGCGTCAATACATCAAAGTCGCCATTTATTTCCTATTTTCTTCTTTTTAGTTTTGAATTGTTAAAAGGAAATAAGAAAAAAGTAACGATTTCGATATATCGAACATGTGACGTGTATCTCTGATTATCCCCCAGCGAGAAATGATCGATAACGAAATGTCGAAACCGTCAAATCGATATCGATTCAATATCGTTTTGCTGTCGATTAACAATTCATTTTTCGCTGGATTCTATCAGAAAGGCCATTGGTCAAAACTGTTGTAAAAATCTTGAATCTGATTCGCGAAACAAACGCACACGAAATTGCTCACAATCAGTGCGCACTATTGCGCTATTTTAGCAGTAGAAAACACTATTAGATCTAACAGGGAACTAAAGGCAAGAACTGATTACATTAAAAATTATTTATTTTTCTGCTGAACGCGGCTGTGAACGACGTTTACTATACACGATAGCTGCCTATCTATTTACGATAGTATTCAGGGATTTAATCATGAATCTTTTTCTTCTGCGTAAACTCGTGAAAAGTGAACAATTTTATTGATCGATATTAAATTGTTAATGCAATTGTTCACTTTTCACGAGTTCACGCTGGAGGAAAAGAGATTCATGATCGAGCCGCAGAAAACATAAGTCTCGAAAACGGATCTGATTGGTGGATTCAAAGCTAATGCGTCGTTCACAAGCTACTATTATTCAATGGCCGTCGGTGGTGGTGCGATCGTCGCGCGGTCTAAACGCAGCCTATCGAAGAGATTAAGGCCGGTATTCATAGTCAGATCTTATATTCAACACCGTCTTGAATATAAGATCTGGGCCTCGATTCTTAAATTAATTCGCACGATAAACGTCTGCTCTTACGGAAAAATTGAAAGTCGATTGGCTAAAAGCCAAGCGAACAGCCAACTCGACTCGCAAGTTTTCCGTAAGAGCAGAATTTTCGCATACGTTTCTCATTCAAACGAATTCAAGAATTGAGCCCCTGACTATGGCCGGTATTCATAGTCGATTCTTACTTCAAAATTATCTTAAGCGTTGGCCTTAAGCTGCTGACACGGCTCTGTGATTGGTTGAAAACACATCAAGAATATACTTAAAGCCCGTATCAGATTACGGATGGGGATTGGGATTAGATTGAAATTTAACCAATCACAGTAAAGTTTACTAATCTCAAGTTCAGTAACTTTTACTCTGATTGGTCAAATTTCAATCTAATCCCAATCCCAATCCGTAGTCTGATACGGGCTTTAAAGCCCGCTGCAGACGATGCTATTTTTCCTGCTGGATTGCTTGCGATTTACTAAATTACTAGGAATCCTGAGTGCTGAATGGTGCAACGATAGTAATTTATTAGATTGCAAGCAATCCAGCAGGAAAAATAGCATCGTCTGCAGCGGGCTTAAGATGATCTTAAAGCGGGGAACACACACCCCAGATAACAC